CTTTCACCCCTCCTGTTCCCTGGGCCATGTCCCTCTATTATGGGAGCATTGCCAGAGTAAACATGAGAACACAAAACACCAGTTGTCATTTTCTACTTCCAAACCTCTTTTGTTGTCTGTAACTTTAAATAGTGTTTTTCTTTTTGGAAGTCTGGTAGTTTGTCCAAAAGTTGAAGTGGTAGCAGCCGGCTGTTTATGCTTTTATGATGTTATTGAGTTGAGACCCTCTCACACCAGTGGTGTTCTGTTGCTAAATACACGAGTGTGTAATGAGTGAAGAACCCAGAGACGTTCAAAAGTTTGGCGGGTCGGTGAGACATACAACCAGATGGTCCAATCGTTGGTTTCCGACTGAGCCGTGTCATTGGAGAAGGTTTTTAGGAAAATACTAGAGAACCACTCATTTTTTTTATCTCTGCAAAATAGCAAAACTATGTTAGAACATTGTTAAGAGGCCTGGAAAAAAATGTTTTAAACTAGCTTGTTTTTACGATTTGCTAATGTCGCTTTAAATATTACTAAAGGTCCTTCAGGTCAGTTAAATCATAATGAAATTAAACAATGGTTTGTTAGTCCTGCTGTTTAAAAAAGCCTGTAAGCTACGTATTAACTCATTCACTGCCAGACATTTTCTGAACAGAAGTCCCTGACATTTGTGGGGAGTTTTTTTTTTTACTGTTTTTTTAAGAGTCACGGGAAGTTGTGCTCTATGATCATGTAAACACCAAAACTACCACAAGAAAAAGTACACTAAGCTTTCATAATAGAACAGTAACACTATTAAGATCTGTATTAAGAACCTGCTTAACCATAATATGTAATGGATTACTAAGCAGACACCTACCCCATGGCCCTTTGTCCTAACCTCAAAGACACTTAATAGTTAACAATATTGGAAACGTTCATAAATAGACTCTTTGTTTAATAATGCTTAATAATGCACTTAGTAACTAATAAAGAGACCCTATATTTAATAATGCTTAATAATGCACTAAGTAACTAATAAAGGGACCCTTTATTTAATAATGTTTAAGCATGCTCAGGTTAAACCGCTGCTAAAAAAACAATCTCTTCCTCCAAATCATGTGGAGAACTACCGACCTATCTCTCTCCTCCCTTTTCTGTCCAAAATCATTGAAAAGGTGGCTTTCAAGCAGATCACAGAATACCTCTCACAAAACTGTCTGCTTGACCCTTACCAATCTGGGTTCAAAAAGGGCCACTCCACTGAAACTGCTCTGTTAGCAGTGACAGAATCCTTAAAAGAAGCTAGAGCAACTGGCAAATCCTCAGTGCTTATCCTGCTCGACATATCGGCTGCATTTGACACTGTCAACCATGGCTTCCTTTTATCCGCACTCTCTAGCATGGGCATCACAGAGAAAGCACACGCCTGGTTTGAATCTTACCTCCCAGGACGATCATTCAGCGTATCTTGGCTTGGACAGTCCTCTACCGTGCACCACCTTGCCACAGGAGTCCCCCAGGGCTCTGTACTAGGACCTCTTCTCTTTGCCATATACACCACCTCACTGGGTGAGATCATTCGATCACATGGCTTCTCCTACCACTGCTATGCAGACGACACCCAACTCTATCTGTCATTTCCACCGGACGACCACACTGTCTCAGCACGAATATCAGACTGTCTCTCTGACATCTCAAAATGGATGAAATCCCACCATCTCCAACTCAACCTCTCTAAAACTGAACTGCTTGTCATCCCAGCAAAACCATCCATACAGCACAATATCTCAATCCAGAATGACTTCCTAAGTCTGGCTCCTTCAAAGGCAGTTTGAAATCTGGGTGTTGTCATTGATGAACACATGGCCTTTAAAGATCATGTTGCCTCTGTTGCCCGTTCATGCCGCTTTGCGCTGTACAACATACGAAAGATCAGACCATACCTAACACAACATGCCACCCAGCTCCTGGTGCAATCTACTGTCATCTCCCGCCTCGACTACTGCAATGCTCTTCTAACTGGTCTTCCAGGCTGTACTGTGAGACCTCTTCAAATGGTCCAAAACGCAGCGGCGCGTCTGGTCTTCAATCAGACTAAAAGAGCACACGTCACCCCTCTGTTCATTGAGCTCCACTGGCTACCGCTAGCAGCACGCATCAAATTCAAATTGCTAACACTAGCATACAAAGTCCGAGACGGTACGGCTCCCATCTACCTGAATCCTCTTGCAAAGGCTTACGTCTCGGCCCGGCCGCTCCGGTCATCACAGGATTGTCGGCTAGCAGTGCCTACACCACGCTCAGGACAATCCAGACTTTTCTCATGCATCGTTCCACAAATGTGGAATGACCTTCCTAACACTACCAGAACTGCGGCTTCCTTTTCTATTTTCAAGAAACTCCTGAAGACCCTGCTCTTCAGAGAGCATCTTCTTAACTAGCACCTTGCCTGCACCTGTCCCCCCTCTCTACTGTCCACTCCTTGTTCCCTCCTCTCCATGACTGATGTCAATTTGTTGTTGTTACTATTGTTGTTAGCCTCAAGGGCAAAATGCCGATTATCACTTGTAAGTCGCTTTGGACAAAAGCGTCTGCTAAATACATAAACATAAACATAATGCACTAAGTAACATTAATAAAAGGCCCATTTATTAATAAAGCTGTGTTGTTAATAAAGGGACCCTTTGTTTAATAATACTTAATAATACACTAAGTAACTTTAATAAAGGGACCCTTATTATAAAGTGTTTCTAATAGAACTATGCAAGACAATCTTCAGTTTCCAATGCAGCTAAGCAAACCCAAATGCTACATCTTCACAGCCAGAAGTCTCCACTAAATGTGCTTTTGTTACTGTGGTGCATAACTAGAAGGGATTTGTCCTTCCATTATACATTATTCCAATGGGTCTTCTTTTGTCTGAATGATTTTGAAAAAGCACGTTATCTAACACAAATACAGCACAAGGACTGCAGCAAACTTAGGAAGAACAATCTAATGGAGCTTTGTGTGCTGCATGAGCCAGTTGTTGTATATATATATATATATATATATATGTGTGTATATATCATTATTATAAAAAAAACTTGTCCTGCAACCCTGCATGCTTTTGTCTGATCTTCTGATTTTTTTGCATTATTATTTTCGATTTCAACAATTTGAAAAATAGCTAATGTGGGCACAATATTGCTGTTTCTGGCAACATTTTCCGTTTGTGTGCAGGAAAAGTCCTACATGCTTTTGTGTGCACACACTGTTTATGCTGCTTTCCGTACATCTAAGAATGTAGCAGCTCTGTACAAAAAAAAAAAATAATAACAATATATATATATGTATATACATAAAGGAAAACCTTTTATGGATCTGTCAACAAGCCTGACTGGACTCCTGCGGCGAACCGAATTCCAGTTTTTGATGTTCGTGTCTGTGTAGGAGTGTTTGTGCATGTAAACACTGGCCTGTAGCTCTCACTCATTGTTTAATGTTTTGGGTCATTTTACAAGCTTGCGTATAAATGCAGCCCAGAGCAAAAATGTGGCCTATATCATCTTTTATGTCTGAGTTTAATCATCTGCTTAAACACAAGAGAAGAAAGACAGCTAAACCCACACGAAAAGGAATAAATAACTCTAGATTGATACTTTTTCACAGGTCGGTTATCAAGCCATTAATCATTGTTAATTTGTTACATTTAATTAATCAAGAGTGCTTATCCTAGAACAAACAGATATTTAAATGTTTCTTTTATCTGAACATACACATTTTTTCTCTGGTAAACATCTGGAGAATAAATGTAGCACACCATCAGAAGAGTCCTTCTCACGCAAACAAATGGACCAACAATTGTTTTAAATTAGCTGCAGTATCTTCTGTTTTTGTGGGTACTTCAAAAAGATGCAGCCAAGAAAGTGTCCTGACAGTGAACTTGATGCTTTGTCAGCAGTTGTCAGTGTGGCTTTCTCTGTCTGTCACGCCAGCGAAGCAAAACAGCAGCCTTTAAGTCTGTATCAAACCCGTGCATCAGACCTCCTGTCATATATTAGCTTTTATTCTTAAAATAGTGATCATCTATCACAGAAAGACAAACGCTTTGGGGAAATGTCAAAAGCTCAGAATGGAATTTGTTTCATTTCCTTTGCAACATGATTCTCACAGTAAAATCTGGCCTGGTCTGTTTTTCTCCTACTTTGTTTGTTTGTTTGTTTGTTTGGTTGTTTGTTTGTTTTTCTAAATCTGACCAATAAAAGTAACTCATTTGAAAGCACAGGTTTCAGCAGCTGCAGAATGTCACAGAGCTGATTATTGGGGGAATTTGTTTGGAAAATGTAAAACCATCAACATACAAAACATAATTTGGTCGATCCTCGTTCTCATCTAGAGGCCCTGAGATTTGGAACAATTCACCACCATCTGCATTAAAACATAACAGATTTTATGGTTGTTAGCTACCAGCTGAAATGGTGGCTGGTTAGCAACATTCATTTATTTATATTAAATTCCTTGAATGTGAACACGTTTACTCTAAAATCCCAGCTGTGATAAATTAGTTTGGCGAACTTTAGTGAAAGAGGTCACACTACGTTAATCCTCTTTGTAGTCGAGCTTTCTCTGGTCCAGAAAAGGAACACGATTTCTTTGAAGCATTTGCAATCTGCACCTAAAGCCCCGAGGTCAGACTGTGTGGATAATTCAGCATATTAAGTTTGACTGTTTGGTTTGTTATTTGAACCATGCTCACTCTGCTTTGATGATTGGCCTGTGGCTTTGATTCAGAATCAAGGCTGCTTTTGAAAAAGCTTGGTTGCAGAAGTTGTAGAGATGGAGCGATAACGCTGTTGTTAGATGTTTGGATAAGGCACGGAGAAGATAAATATGCTGCAGGAGCCCAAGCGCAGTTTTCAGGCTCAGCTGATAAACTGAATGTTTTGTTTTTGTTTAAGAAAACATCACATTGTGTTTAAATCCAATCTTTAAAACATTCCTATTTTCCCCCAGCTGTTTGGATGATTAATCTGTCCTTGCCCCTTCTGTAGCTCCGGCAGAACCTTTGCTGTGCAAGTTTGCTGATGGAGGCCAAAAGAAGAGACAGACCCAGGTCAAGTATTCCCAGAATGGCCGACCATGGACACGAGAGGGAGAGGTGAGACTCCTATTACATTTGTTGTAACATTGTAACAAAAAAGCTGGATTTCTTTTCTTCTTTCGGCTGATATTGAAATGGAAAAATATCATTTTTATAAGTTTGTAAAGTACAAGAAGCAAAACTAAAAACAGTCCAGAAATCTTCCACTTCCTATACATCCTTGTTTAACTTTACCAAGTGCTAGGACATGGAGGAAAATTGTTACATATTTCACATGTCTCAGTGGTGGTTAAGAGTTTGGACCCTGTGTATTAAATTACACTAGTTTTTCCGTGCTCTATACAAAAGTAGGAAATTACTTCATTAGGAAAAAAAATATGCATTTTGTTGACTAAAATTGCTTATTTTTATCGACTAAAAATGGGACTAAAACTAAAATAAATCTAATGACTAAAATTGGACTAAGGCTAAAATTAATTTTTAGCCAAAAGACTAAGACTAAAATAAAATTTAAATTTCCTGTCAAAATTAACTCTGGTCTCATTTATCAAACATTGTGTAGAATCCTTACTAAAACCGTACTGAAGCTCAGCAAAAAAAATGTACTTGCGCCAAGCAGGTTTGTGATCTATCAAACACGGAATACGCACAGCTGCACGCAATCTCCCCTTCATAAATCAGAGACCATCTAGAAAGGTTCTCAGCTGCTTTTCAGTCACATCCCGCCCTCACCACGCCCACTTACTGCCATAAATAGTCAATGCAAAGTGCCTTGTGGATCTCATGCATATACATAAGCCGGCTGTTGCAGCGCTTCGCCAATGGCAACCGTAGATCAAGGCAGATCAAGGAAGCACAATTTCACAGAAGCAGAAACTGAGGTACTTGTGGGTGAGGTGGAGAAATGAAAGGAAGTGCTTTTGCAACACAACTTTAACTTATTCTGTTCATACGGCAGTTAAACTATGGTCCTTTCAAAGTGCTATACCAAAAGTTCAGTACATTTGTATTCCAGTTGCAACAAAGTGTGATTCAGGAGATTATAAAAATCCAATTTAGTAAATCATTCCTTTATCTAAAGAAACCAGTGAAATGTATGAATATCTCCAATGATATCTTTCATTTGGAGCAAAGATTGGGAAGACAGCAGGAGGGAAATTCCCTTTCAACATGAAGGAAACTTCCAGCAGAACCAGGCGTATGGGCCTCCTTTTGTCTAACTGGGTTGTGAGAAGGCAGGAAGGGACACAAACATATATGAGTCAGGATGCAATGATCTGCACACAGATTTATCTTTGTCAACCAGATTTAATCCAGTTACCTACTGGCAAATGTATGTATGTAAAGTCCAAAGGTGGAATCTGGTTAGTCAAAAACAGATGTAATAATCATTGTTAGGAAGATGACTCTTATATTGTCCGATGTAGCCTTCTGGTAGAGATTTCATTTTATTACTGAACTGTTTGATTTTTGCATGAACAAAACTAAACAACAAAATATGCCAACCACTTTCTGTGCTGTTTGGTTTGGCAAGAATGCAGTGATGTTTGTGATTTCTAAAGACGCAAGAGAACAAAGCCACACAGTAACTGCAACAACATCCAAATCTAATGGGAAATATCTTAAATATCTAAACAATCTTTGGTCTCACAATATCCTCCCTTCAACATTTACCAGAAAAACCTCCAAAAAGCTTGACAGCTTCCCTGCATGTTCATTATCATCTTTCATTTCCAATAACACACTGTAGGCTGAAACAGAGACACTGCTGACAATGTGAAAGCTGACATATATGAATCAGAAATATTGAGTCTGAAATACAACAATAGCATTTTTTTGTTTTTTGTCATCTTCAGACGAAATGAAACCCGGTGCAAAGGTTTCAAAGCAAACTGACTGCTGCACAAAGAGGGAGTTTAGAATTTTTGTGCGTTGAAGCTAAAGCTTTAATTTACAGAAAGGAAAAAGTGGAAAATAATGTCACCACCCACTCATAGTTCTCACACGGCTCACTTTAGTCAGAGGTCTGGAAGGAGCAGGGATAAAAATCCTGCACCAGGCTGCGACAAAGCTGCAGTGAAAACATGTGTGTGTGTGTGTGTGTGTGTGTGTGTGTGTGTGTGTGTGTGTGTGTGTGTGTGTGTGTGTGTGTGTGTGTGTGTGTGTGTGTGTGTGTGTGTGTGTGTGTGTGTGTGTGTGTGGCTAGCTCTGTTTACAGGATAGAGTTTTATTTATCAGCAAAAAGGCAAGCTCACATCAGACATCTCAGAGGTGGTCATTTGTATTTTCAGTCCATTTATGTCAACAGAAAATAAACGATCAGTGCTTTCAAAATGATTTCTTACACATTTGTCAGCAGCTCAATTTCTCACCAGCTTTGCTTGGCCCTGAAGGAACTTGTTAGAGGTTTATTTATTTGCTGCAGCTGGGTCTGAGAGTCCAGCTGACTGATAGAGACATCTCGTATGCTTTGAGGAGCTTCGTTGCTCTCACATGCGCGCTTGAGCGAGCCTAATCTTCCCGAGCCCCTCACTCCTAAAAGAGTCTGGCTGTGATCTTGCAAACACACGAACAGCGTGGACACATTTAGCTTCTGTTGTTATCGTGGATTAAAAAAGTTAGAGGGTGAGGTGTTGTTGCTTATCTCAGAAAAGAAATATTATGTTGAAATTCAGTGAATATGAGTTTTCCTCAAGATGGCAAGTAGGATTATTGTCCACGGTTAGTTTAGCTTTTATCTGCTTACACTTAAGTGTTTATTGAAGAACTAGCGTTGGGAAAAAACTCACCAACTTTAATTTTATTTTTTTATGTATTTCAAGTAAAGCGGTCTTTTTGTTAGAGCTCTTAAATCCACCATCTACTTTCCTAGAAAGTGTTTAATGAAACCTCTAATACAGTGGTAGAGTTCAAGACACCCTTAGAAAAAGAAGCGAGTGAAATGCTGCGCACTATAAAAAATGGCTCGTCTATTGATGCAAAAAGTAAAGAGTTCGTAGTGTTTGAAAAGTAAGAAAGAAAAGGAAAGATGGAGCCCTAAAACATTATTGTGTTTACAGTTGGGTTTAAACGTGCAAAGACAAAATCAAACATGCTGCTAACTTATTCAGATTACATTTATTCATTAGTTAACACTGAAATCTCTTGGAACATATAATGTGCACCCATTTTATACATGTCATTGTTTATGCATGTGCACACTTATATATAGGCCCTATTCTTCTCAAGAGACGTTACAAAATGAGCTAAAAACTGCAACATGGCAAGTTTACCAACAGTTTTACAGATTTTTATTTCATTTTAAAGTTGGAATCGTCAAGGGGGATCTCAAAACAGCAGAAAGTTCATTGGAGGGATCTTATGCTGTGTTACACACACACATACACACACACACACACACACACACACACACACACACACACACACACACACATGCACGCACACACACAGTCCAGATTATTTAGCATTGTTGCAGGTATAGGTCTCATGGCTGTGTGGACCACTGTGCCTCGTGTGTGCTGGTGGTCAAAACACACGACGTCTACACCTGCAGTGAATGCACTTGTGCACTTCTTTAGGTGACTGGGGTTATGGTTCCAGAATGCCATGTCAAGTTTTACTTTCAACCAAATGTCTTTCAAGAGGTCTTTCATGTTCTCACGCTTGAAGTAAAACAAAATTCGATATGGTGATTTTCTCCTGTAACAGGATACGAGACTCTTTCATCCAGTCATTATTGCCTTTTTCTGTAGTTTATCTGTTGATCAAAATTCAATAAGGACAATTTTAAAGAGGTAATTTTGGACCTCAGACCACGATAAAGTCATTAAATATGAACAATGTGAGCATTAGATCTAATGCTTCTCTTTTTTTCTTCCAGAGTGGCATGGCAATAACGTACGATCCCAATGCGATACAGAATGGGTAGGTGGGGGCTTCCTTCTCCATTTTATACTCCATGTTTCTTACTTTCTGTCAAACTTTACTTTTGTTGTTCCCTCTTTTCTTGAGATCCTCAAATAAAGAAGCTGCAGATTTGTATAAAAGCAAAAACTAGAGTGAGCTCACACACATGTGTCTAAACTCACACAGAGTAAACAGGTGGTCAGTCTGACTGTTACAGATGGGGCATTTATTTATGCACCTATGCATACCAGCTGTTGGATGGGGGGGTGGATTGCAGACGGGGTTGTCGGGTGGGGTTGCAGTGCCGTTGTAAGACTTTCGTCAGCTGAGGCTATCTGCAGCACTCCCCAGCTGAATGATGAGAGCAGAGTGTCAGCCTGTTTCAGAAGGAAATTGGAGATCGGTCATGTCTGCTAGGAATGCTTCTGGTGATGCATTCCCAGGGGATGTTTGCTTCCATCTCAGTGTTCATCTCCTCCTCCTTCTCCTTTTATGGCTATTCTTTTTTCATCCCTACTTTTATAACTATCATAATTTGATTTCTTTTCTGCTGACCTTTGTAGACTTCATGTGGAAAATCAGCATTATTTTGCTTGCTCTGCCTTTTATTCCAAGGTGGAAAGAACTTTCTTTCAACATTTTTAACACCTCCACACGTATTTTTGACCTTTCGTTTTTTGCTGTTGTTCAATTTTTTGTTTTTTAAATAGCTGCTTTAGTTTCGGTTACTTGTGTTTTGTTGTTCTCTCTCTCTCTCTCTCTCTCTCTCTCTCTCTCTCTCTCCCTCTCTCTCTCTCTCTCTCTCTCTCTCTCTCTCTCTCTCTCTCTCTCTCTCTCTCTCTCTCTCTCTCTCTGTGTGTGTGTGTGTGTGTGTGTGTGTGTGTGTGTGTGTGTGTGTGTGTGTGCGTGTGTGTGTGTGCATAAGCCTTCTTTGACCCTTCCCTCCGAGGTCATCTGCTCTCCTTTCGGCAAAGCGCTAAACGAGTGTGAAATGCTAATGCAGCTAATTAGAGAGGCAAAAATGCGGGGAGGGAAGGGATTTGAATAAAGATGGAGGGATGAGCGGGGTCACAGGGAGGGCAGAGGCAAAAGTAAAGTCAGCCCAAGGACAGGGGGAAGGTTACGAATCAATTACAGGTTTGCTCGTCCCTCTGAACTGGAGGACATCTGGTGTATGAGAACTAATGCCAGTCGGATCATACTGGGAACATGTGTACTCAATTCCCAGACTGGAAATCTTTTCTGTTTATAATTTTTTTAACCCAGAATCACTTTCTCATCGTCTGTTTTCTTTACTCGGCTGAGGTCAGCGATAAATCATTCACTAATTTCTCTTTTCAAACTCCTGACTCTGTGCTGCTTGGACCACACCAGAGGTTGCATTCAATCCTCTACTAATGCTCTGTTCACAATTACATGTTAAGTGCGTTGTTTAAACGCTTGTGTTGGAGTCCCCATTGACAGTTTCCTGCTCGGGACTAATAGCCTCCATCAATAACCTTGAATTTGTCCTCTGCAGACTTCTCCCCTCTCAGTTTAATGAAAAATACAATAAATACAATCAGGGAACCACATTGAGTAACCCTGTTGCCGCCCCTCATTTGTATTCATCAATGACAGTAATACAGTATCTCTAATGCAAGTCATAAATTAATTGTTGTCAAAAGGACTAATCCATGCCACTGCTTCAGCCGTTAGCAAGGGCTTTTTTCTCCATCAATACTTTTGCAGACATGTCTGAGTTTATACTCCTGAATAGTTTGTCCTGAAGTTCGATGAGTCTTCTACGTCTCTGATTTAGAACGGCTTTTAACAATTACGTAACAAATTTGAGCTTTAGGTCGAGACAGTCAGCTTCAATTTAAAGATAATCACATTCAATTTATCCCTTTGGAGGCAAGGTTCAGAAGGAGCAGCTCCTTAATGTGTAGAAACCTTTTCTAATGACTCACACATAATTACCATAAATCAAATGTTCCTTTGTGAATACTTGGTTGAAAATCCTTTGTGGCTTTTTCAGGAGTGCGGATATATTCAAAGAACAGATTTAATTCAGCATGAGGTCTTTGGTGCACCTGCTTCAGATTGTTGTTGTTTACCGGTATTTATGATTTTTACCTGAGGAAAATAAAAGCATGCTCACTTAAATTGATGTCAGGTGATTGACTCAACACATGCAAATAAACCAACCCAATGTTTTGTGTTATATTGGTCTTGAAATTGAGCTGATGTCTGGATTATGACTCATTTCAGCAGTGACAGAATTGTATTTCATTTTGCATAAATCGGCTTTAAAAATGGACTTTCTGTTCCACATGGTGAACCTTTTGTATTTGCTCTTGTCTCTCTACTCAGTTTTTTCCCTTTTCAACAACTCCAGTTTTTTTGTTGCTGAACTTCACAGTCCCATTTTTCCTCCCTGAGAACATTAGTTATTGTATATTTGCTGTTAAAGGTCACTTAGCCTGAAACTGCTAATTTTGGTGTTATAAACAACAGTTTAGATGTTTCCTCAAACAAATGCTCCCTCTGGTTTAACAGTGAGCTTCGGCTTCAAGAGGATGAGTCAAAGGATCTTGGTGTCTTGTTCAGGAGGGATGCAAGGTGGAGAGAAGGATGCACTGATCAGGGCAGTGTGAGGGCATTGCTCTGATGTGTTGAGCCAAAGAAGGAACTGATTTACTGGTCAGTCTGTAGTCCAGTGCAATCGCGTGGTCATAGGATTTAGATTGTGACTGAAAGAGAGAAATCTCAGACACGTGGCAGAAAAGACCTTCCTTGAAGTCTCTGCTCAGCTATGAAGATAAGGTGAAGAGCTCTGTCATGCTGAGGGGAGCTCAGGTTAGAACTGCTGCTCCTCTGTATTGAAAGGACTCAATAGTGGTGTTTTGGGCAGCTGACTAGAATTTCTCCTGGTCACCTTTTGCTGGAGGTTTTGAAGGTACATCCTATGGGATGCAACCCTGGGGCACCAAAACACATGCTGAAGGGATCATTTCTATCCTGCTGTGGGAATTAGGATCCTTCAGGAGGAGCTGGAGAGTGTTGATAGGGTTGGGATGAGGGTTAGTCTGAGCTTGCATGGATGGATGGTGTTCTTCAACCTGGAAAAGTAGGTTTCCACATATTAACAGACAGTAAGTGAGGACTCTTGAATTAAAGCTCAATTGTATAACGTGAACCTAAATGTGCTGAACCTGAGAAATGTGGAGTTGATGCTGCTGAAATCTGACATACATCTATAGCTTTACGAAGGCTAATCCAGGTTATGTTATAAAGAAGGATTCATTATGGTACTCATACACCTGATTCTCTGGAAGCATTGAGACAGAAACGAAACATCCGAGGAGAAACAAACATCTTTAATTATCCAGGTTCCTTGGGTCAACACATTTTAGACAAAACAATCAACCTGCACATTAACCAGAACTTAACTCGCTTAATAAATAAATAATACATTTTTGTGTCTTTTCCAGAGGAATAAACCGTGTTGTATTTTGGCAATTGGAGAGAAATGATTGCAGCTCTATTCTTGCAACCTCTACTTAGCCTTCAGTGCAGCAATTAGAGCATGAAAATCTGACAGGAAGCTGGGTGTCTGTGTGAGGTACTTGGAGCGTACTGCAGACAGCTGGAAATCGACTGCACGCGAACAGCTTGGCCTGCAATCGTTTGATTAATTTAGGGGTTTGCATCTTTGCATCTGAGGTGCAAAACTGGCTCTGAGTGGAAGAATGTGGTGTAAAACAGAGAGTTTGATATTGTGCAAGAAGGCAATTCCAGCCCTGAAATGAGATGTATGCTTGAGTCACAGAAAATTTGCAGAAATCAATCAATGTATTATATGTCAAATAGATTTAAAGAACGAATGCAGCAACGCAAATTATACCATGTTGTAAGAAAACTAGATTTTGAGTGAGCAGCTTTTATGCAATCTTGGCTGTTAGGGATAGACAGAGGAGGACTTCTCGCTTTGCCTCCCCTCCCTTGGCTCCATTACTCAGTCAACAGACACTATGGGATCGATCGGGCACAGCAACATGGCCTGGCGGATGAAACATGTCCTCTCTAGGTACACAATGATAAATAAAGCCCTGCGAGCCACAGCATTGTACAGCTGTAGGTTGTGGGGTGAAATAAAAAAGAAAGAAATGGAGCAACATCAGGGGGGCAAACAGAGGTATAGGTCGAGATATAAACAGTGGAAAATGCCTATGTTGCCAATGCAGCCTTCTCTTTCTGTGTGGAGGTGGAAACATAAAGGGCAATGCTGGAATCGTTCACCCACTCACACATTAGTCTAATAATTCATTACTAGGTATAGGAGTGGAGCAGACTCCTCTGTAAATTGATGTGAACTCAAATGCAGCGTCAACTTTCATTCCAAGAAGTCTTTGATGGTTTGATGCAGAGCAAAGCTGCAATATTTATTGTTTCCATGACAGCTTTGATGATGTCTGATACGTTTTGTCAGCGCTGGCGTAAAGTGCCCCAGGACATTGGAAAACGAGCAGCTCGGCTTCATCTTTGCATGTTGCTACACACATAGCAATAAAACTTTGTGAGCTCAGAAGCTGTTTGACAGACGATGCATCCTAGTCAGTCTAAAATGTGACATGAACACTCTCCTTAGAGCTAAGTGTTGCTCCACTTCTCAGGGTTTGTTTAATAATATCTTCAAAATGTCTGTTTTCTTTCGTTATTATTGCTCAACAGGTTTTACTCTTCGCCATATAGCATCTCCACCAATCGGATGACATCCATTACTCCCTTCATAGCTGCATCTCCCGTCTCCACGTATCAGGTAGGTGGACTCTAAAACAAACAAGTATTTAGTAAATATGACTCCAGGCAAAAGTACAACAGAGGGCAGTTTCAGATGCAACCATTCATGTGAAATTTGTTATTTCTAACTGGATTGATATGCTAATGGCTTCTTAAAGTGAGATCACACCCATCTCAACTCAAATCTCAAGTCTTCCACTGCACTTCATGCAAAATTCTGTTTTAGCATTTTATGTAAAAAAAAAAAAAAAAAAAAACATGTCATCCAAAACCACAAGCAGAGTTTTAACAAAGTTTTTTTTGTGTGTTGGCCTCTCTAGTCTCTTTTTGTCAGAATTTAACTTGTTCCCACAGACACCTACAACAGGTGAATGAGTTTTTCATAGAAACGGATTCTAAAACTCTCAGCTATTACTTGATTTACCTCACAGTGCTGCCAAAGGAGGATGAACTCGATGACTCCACAGCTTATTTAAACGAATTTATTGAATTTGAACAAGCTTTTTTGCTCCAATAGCACGGCCTTGATGACAGCACAAATTCACACAGAATTCAAACTTTTACCACCTAATGTGAGCTGTTGCTTAATAGCATTTGTGCATCCATGACCAAAGTCTAATGTTAAAAACCTGCAGGGATCAGCTCATTCAGATGAATATTATCTATATAATTACACCCCTTCCCTCGGGTATCTTCCGTTGGAACCGGAAACCCACATTGCCAGAGGAAACGAGATAGTGCTAAACACCAGTCACGGTTTTCTAGGCCCAAACGTCTCTTCTTGTCTGTGGCATAAATGAACGTTTTTGTATTGGGGACTGTAGTTCGACCTAAAGTGATAGCAGCCGGCTGTTTCTCCTTCTCTGATGTTATTGAGGGAAGAACCTCTGACACCAGTGGTGTTCTGTTGTTAAATATGCGAGTGCGTAATGCGTGGCGACCCGGGGTAGTGCTTGACCAACGACCAGATGATCCAATGGTTGCTTTCAGTCTGAAACGTGTGATTGGTGGAGGTTTTTCGACAAATGCCAGAGAAGCACTTTATTTAGTTTTTTCTCTACAATATATTTACAGCTATACTATGTTAGAATGTTGTACGGAGGCATGAAAAAATGCTTTAAGATCATTTGTTTTCCAAACTTGCCGTTGCAGCTTTAATCTCACGTCAGATCCAGGATTGATTCTCTCTGAACAACAACGGCATGGTTGACCAACCCTTAAGCTCCTGATAAATTCTGATCATCAGATTGTTTCTATAGTCTAAGGCAGTGCTAAGTAAGCTATTTTTACTAAATTAATACAACAAAAGTTGACATTTTGTTAATAGATCTCTCCCTTTAAGATCTCATGATTGATAAACGAAAGAAATTACAACAAAACATGCTTCAGTTGCAGGGTTTTCATTATTTTTTTCATTCCTAAGCATAAATGTTCCTTTAATTGTTCTGTTGCTATGTTCCTCGTCCTCTCCTCCTCACTTCAGAGTCCGAGTAAAGTTGCCAAGCTGTGCAGATAGAGCTCGTATCAGTTTTTGATTCACACAGATGCACCTTTAGCCGTATATAAAAGCATTACATCATATCTTACATGGGGCACGGTGGCCTTCAGGGACAGTGGTAAGTGGAACAAGATGAAAGAAAAGATATGTGACCAAGACAAGCTTTTTGATGATGTAACCCTCACAGTGGAGCAGTAACTGCTTCACTGTTTTGTTCTTTGTAGCCTCTCTTGTAATTACAGCATGCCATGATGTACAGTAGACTTTCTCTTTTATGTTTTCTATGAGACTCACTACGTCTGGGACTCAGAGAAAGGATTGTAAAGATGTCAACTAATTTTTTTTTTTCCTTTTTCTCTCTGACTTCCGCTCCTTCTCTGTAATCCAATTGTTCTTGTTTTCCCTTCATTGATTCCTAACCTGCCCATTAAAATCATCTTGTGACCTTCTATTCCTTCCCGTCTCCTGACCGTCCTTCTGTATCCTCCCACTAATGCCGGTTCCCTTTTTAATTAATTACTTTGTTTTTTCACAATATTCAATTTGTTCTCCTTCTATTCCCTTTGTCACATCTAATTTTTGCTGATGTCACTTCTGACTTTCTTTTCTTTCTTACATTTCCCCCTCTCTCCTCTGTGTCATACGTATTTCTACTCAGGTCCAGAGTACGTCTTGGATGCCACATCAACAGTACGTTATGCAACCTACAGTAAGTCTTTGAGACGGCATCTCCTTTGATTCTGTGTTAGTGACTGAACTCTCATTGTGTGTGTGTGTGTGTGTGTGTGTGTGTGTGTGTGTGTGTGTGTGTGTGTGTGTGTGTGTGTGTGTGTGTGTGTGTGTGTGTGTTGTTTTTCGGGTGAAAAATCGTTATGTATTTTTAGAATCAGGTTCATCGTCAGTGCGAATGTCTGCAGCTGGATCCATGCGACAAAAATGACAGAAAGCTTAGAAACCATATCTGCTGCAATTACCTTTTGAACAGTGTGCAGAATCCTGTTTTTTTGTTTTGCAAACAAGTCCTCCACACACCTGAACTACAGTAAAACTGACAAGTTAAATAGGTTACAGAAGAATCTGTCTGTAAAAGAAATAATGATTTCAACTATTGTAACTTTTGGCAAGAGGAAAAATAAATGTTGCCTGTCCTCTCATTTTGCTGAATCAGTGTGTGAAAAGTCTTCTCAGAGCTACAGACTAACGATCAGGCAAAGGCAACAGGAGCATATCTCCCCCTGCTGGATTAATACAAAACTGCACATACACAAATTGAATTACGACAAGTCACCCAAACGCACACTTTAGCAGAACCTTTAATCAAACAAGACATTATTGTTTACTCATACATTCATACTGACTTGGAGAGTAGGTAAACTGTCATTAAAGCCGGTAAAATCCACAGCCAGGTTTACCAGTGTTCCCAATTCCACTGTGGGGTTTTACCTGCACAACAGCTCTAAGAAATAATCAATACTAATCTGTCTGGGATTTTAGTAAAGGAGACATTTATGGTTCAGCAAACTCGTCAAGCTTCACTTAATCAGAACAGGTGTCGTTATATTCTTCTGTCTATTTGTTTTATACAGCATCAGGTTTGTCTCTCACAATGATAAAATGTTGCACCCTTCCTGTTTTCTTCTTTTCCTGTCTGAGAAATCCTGGACACGTTATGTTGTCATGTCTGATTACAACAATGTCTTTGAGGAAGGATGATACCCATTTGTAAATGAGTTTTCACACAAATGTCCCATCTAATTATTTGGCTTGTCGTTTGATTTGACAACCTCAGACTTAGTAGCAGAGAACAGAGAGAGGATGAGGAGAACCAGAACATGAATAAATGAATAAGAAGGGTGAGGATTGACAGAGTAAGGACAGAGGAGAGGAGTCGGCTCAGGGAAAAGGGGGGATTACAAAGAATAAATCGGGAACAAAGGAAACGGAAGCGGCTGCTGCAGTTGCACGTCTGGGCTGTTTGCTCCCAAGCCTTGTCTATGCACACTCCAAATCCCTGTTAGACTATAAAGGCAAAGGCTAGTCATTGTATTTCCTGGATAAAGAGGAGCTTGGCAAATTAAAGCTGCATCAGGGAGACAGGCTGGGAAAGCCAGAGGAGCTTCACTTTGTTGCTACAGTAGCACTGCTCTGCTCGGCAGTTAATGACTACTCACTTTGACTGATGATGTGCAGTTTTTGACACGTTTAGGCTGATGCACATGTGCACACTTCTGGAACTTGGTGAGCAGTCTATTGTAAGGATCACTCATGGCACCAAACCTGAAACCAGGAACATTAAAAACATATTGACTAAATGAATGATTCCAACAAAACAAAAATAAAAATAAAATTGTGTTCTGCTGTCATAGCACAGGAAGCAAAGTCCACAAAACATGACACACACACACAGATTTATGGGCTTTAAGTGTATGATATTCAAGATTAAGCAACACAAACATTAAAGAGACTCTTTATAAGTTGTTTTTAAGGTTGTGCATTTCGAAGCCTTGGTTGAGTGCCCAGATTTCTTGAACCGCGTGTCTTTACATCTCATTATAAAAGGATGTCTTTGTGCATAATTACACATAAATCCTCATGCAGGAAATGAATGCATTACCCAAACTAATGTGTAGCAGAAAAAAAGGCAGCTTACTGCAGAGAGATATGAAAGGACATCCATTCAACTGGGATTTGTGATCCCTCTGATCTTCCAGGTGCCCTTCAAGAATGGGAGCTAAAATACATTCACTGAGCATCAGATCCTACTAGGTTAAACTCTTTTATAGGGCTCTGAGGTTTGGTGAGTAGTCAGTGCACATCCATGAGTTTAGAAGATGCACAATAGTTGATCTTCTATTAAGTGTGTCCTGTCCCCCACCCATGTCTACAGGCGCTCATAGACTGCAAACAAGCAGTCTCTGCTGCATGGAAGTCTGCTCAATCACTTGTGCTTGTGTGAATGAATAATAAGCCACAGAGGTTGTAATTTTAAATGATTTTACAAGGATAATGTGAATATCTGTTTTCATAAGCACTCGGGGAACACGTGTTTCTTTGTGGTCTCAGATGAGCAGAAATCCTGTCAGAAAAGCAGTACTTTGTCGTTTTCTCTGTAAAGAGATGTTATTATCCCTAATGCGGTGTATTGGAGGTTGCTCAGTGCCTGCAGCTTTGGGCTCATAACATTTGAATTAGGTGAGCTCCCCAAAACACAAAAAAATAATAATGCAAAATCAGACAAGGAGAAAACCAACTGAAAAAACGAGCCAGAGCTGCAGCCTTCTCCTCTGAGGGAACACTCACGTCCGTCTGCCTTGTGTACTTATTTATTACCTGTAGAACAACATCTGACACAGGACGACTTTAACACGTACACTTGCTCCACACTGTACAACTATATTCTGAGTAAAGTACTGTGCTTGCTTTCAGACGCATGCAGAGACAGCCTGCTTAACTCTTGTACAGCTGTAAATCAGATTAGGCTGATACTCATTAAGGCTTCCCCTTCTCTATATGCTGCACGGAAACCTGCTGTGAGACTTAATGAAGAAACAGAGAATGAGAAATCATTAAAACAAGATTGCTTCATGTGAATGAATAAAAAGTTTAGGCGTTAGCTCAAGTCATGTTGGTAAATGTACCTGGCCAAAGCAAAGCTTGTAAAGCTTTAATACTTCTGTTAGTTGTTTTTTCTGTGGGAACATAGCGGTTAGATTGTGAGCATTACAAGCAGTCATGCTGCTGTGAGCCAAAAACAGATCTCATTATGAAGACATGCTGCTGATAACAGCTCTGTCTTTGTGTTGTTCCTGTGAGTCTGCCTGGGCAGCTTCGAAGGTCTAAGCATCTTTATTGACATCGACATGCCCCATCGCGGGCCCTTCACTTGGCCGACAGAGAGCTGTTGGTGGTTCCTCGCTCCAAGCGCAGGTCACGGGGGGACATGCTTTGTCAGTGTTGGCTCCTACACATTTTGAACCAGTTGCCTTTGATGGGGCATCAGTCACCTTCATTGATGGTTACAAGTCTTGCCTGAAGACCCACTTTATTTCATGGTATTCCAGCAATAGCAAACTCTACACGGTGTTGTTGCCCAGCCTCTGATTCCTTTACTGTATTTTATTGTCTGCATTTAACTATGTCTTCTAATGTTTATTTGATGAGTTTTGTGATTATGTCACATTTAATTTGATGGTTTTTACATGATGTTGTGATGTGTTCAGCACCTTGGGCATCCGCTTTGGTCGTGTAAGCAGTTTCATAAATGAACGAATGAACAGAAATGATGGGATGCAGCGGGGTTAGGGTTAGTTTACAACTAATGCAGTTAATTTGAGAAAAAAAAACATACCCTAACCACAACAGGTAGGTTTTTTTTTGTTTGTTTAATATGAAAAATAATTAAACACAATTGAGTTTGGAAAATTTTTTAGTTCACCCCACCCCCACCCCCCTCACCCCGCGTCCTGTCCGGCTGTAAAGTGATTAGAATTGTTGTCTGAGTACCAAAAAACAAGCCACAGATTGCAGCTTTTGCTATGATGTTCTAACGGATTTATAGTTATATAAAAAAACTTTCCTAGAATTGCTCCAAATGGACATGGAGACAGAAATGACCGGGTTCTTTCACCATATAGAGCTCTGTGTGTGATAGTGGGTGAGCAGAGAGATCAGGAAGTTCAGCTGTAGCGTGGATGAATGACCCAAACGCGGAGAAGCGAGCATTGGGAATAGACAGGCACGCGGATTGATCTAGGAGTATCCGCAGGACCAGACCAGAGGGATGGCTGAGCGGACACTCTGGAGTAAGAGAAAATTCACTTACTGAGTGGATGATAGTAGGAAAGCTGGTTGCTTGGGGAACTCGTGAGTCGCATTGTTGAAATGATGACTGAGTAGAGGTGGGAGTGAGAGACTTCCTTATCTAGACTGGACATGATGATGTGGATGGATCACATGGATGGTGAAGGGATGATGGGAGCTGTAGTCAGGAGGGGAAGTACCGGTTGGAGGACTGGTGCGGGGTGGAATTCGTGACACTATGATTGGCTAGAGACAAAACTGTTTGGTTCAATGATTGACCTGCTGAGGCTATGATGGAGTGTGGCTAGACCGACCTGCAGAGCAAAATATTTTGGCACTGCTGTGGTTTTCCTTGATTGCCCTACCTTTTTAAAATCAACGCCATGAAATATATAATTCTAACCTTCGGGAGAAATGGATGTGCACGTTCACAAAGGAGAATGGGACAAAAATAAGTTATTTTCTGTGATCCTTTGAGGCAAAAGTTAAAATTGAAACCCACATCATGTGAGGGTGACAGCTTGCTTACAGGTGTGCTTCACTGAGAAGCCATTGTTTTAGTTATTATTTCTGATTATAATCGATCTCTCTGTTTTGCTCAGGGAAAATCGTTTCCTGCATCTATCTCCGGCATTAGCTTCTGATCGGAAATAGACGATGAAACTTTAGGATTTGAAAAGCCTGACAGATCTACACCACACTCACGTCACTTCCCATTCATGGACTCACCCATCTTGACTCACGACGGGGAAGGCTGTTGTTGGTTTAGCGTCCAGGAAACAGCAGGAACATCTCGGCTTGTAGAAGCTAACGTTAGCATTAGCAACTCCACCGCGCAGCAGAGATCCTCCAAGCTTGTGGAGGTTCACTGCTGTTAGCCAATCAGAGATAAGATATCCAAATGTCAGGAAATAAGACTCCAAATCCCACGGTCTGAAGCTCTCCTCAGATGTGGCTCACTTCTGCTTCCTGAAACTGGTGCACTGGAGCTTTGTTTCTCCAGAGTTGACTTACAAGGCGTTCATTCCTACTGGAGACCACTGCAGATGTGTTGATTACATGAGTGCTCCACACCTTTGATGTACAACATGGAAATCATTGGTGTTGCATTAGAAGTTTTAGTGTTATAGGTTCACTTTTCTAACTTCCTGGAACAGCTACTATGATGTTTACTCTTGTTTGTGAACAGCACGTGGAGATTTTTTGTGAATGTGTTATTTTATATATGCACTCTTCTGCAATGCAGCTGTCAATGTTTTTATTTGCATCCTAGATTATGACAAACATAGTGCTCATTGCTGCTTTTAGTCATGTTTATAGTTGCCGTATCCTTCCGCCATGACCAGAGGTGGCTAAGGAGTTTGGGAGCCGTAACATTCCAAAGTAACATAAAGAAAACCCAACATATCCAGAGTTACTCGGATATCTGCCACACTACCAGGCCTGCAGTAAAATACCAAACGTCCACCTCTTTGTTCCTCTAGAACTGCACCAACATGCATCTAGAGGTTTCCTTCTGCACTCACAGGAAGTGGAGTTCAACAGATATCTCACATGAGCAGAGCTTACATCTGCTAGGAGGCTGTCAGACATGTCAGCGCACTGTTAGAAGCTGTGTGTTATATCTTTAGCAGAGTGGTTTTGGAGAAGCTTCGAGCATGAAGGTGTTCGACAGCAACAGAGACTCACATTCAGGAGATTTACTGTACAAGCCTCTCTTATTTCTTCACTTAGGTGTTGTGTCTGCTGCACGTGGTGAGTTAGCTGACAGGCTGTGTTCCTGCGTACAAGATGGAAACAGTTGTAGTCGTCAAATTTTACAAGGGCTGCAAGTCCGCCCCACTTTCCCTACCTGTATAAGCAGAGAATTGTCACGGTTGCTTGTGCATTACCTTTTTGATAGCTGGTGCGTCTTCCCTGAAGTTTATTATTCTAGTATTTTTTATTTGTTTGTGATCTAATTTTAAATTAGAGATGCTGGTGATAACTAATCTGATTGAACATCCAAATGCACTGCATTTGTGTTCTGACGCATCCAGCTGTGTCATGACAAAATGATTTGTGTTTAAAACATAAGCCAATACATACAGGAAGGGGTTGAGCCCAGGAGAGGAGTTAAGTAAAGAGAAAGGGTAGGGAAATGGTGTTTTATGGCCTAAATAAAACATTGTATTTGTTCTGGGACCTCCTACAATTTTCTCCTCTGCATCAGAAGGAAACATTTCAGTTTGTTAGAGCTCATTCACTCACTTTAGAGAAGTCATAACGTGTTTTTTTACAGCTTGAAATGGTTTTTTAATGGATACAAAGTTTAAATACATATCCTGTTGTTGCTTGTCTAATTGAACTGAAGAGTCATTAGTTGGATCATTTTAGACTTTTGTAAACATTACTCTACGGGAGGCTTGCAGTGTTTTTGTCTTAATTACTTTTTTTACAGACAGTTCTTCGAACTTTGTCAGATGGGAAGGCTCTAGCTGCCAAGTGGTTTTATGTTTTAATTGTTTCTCTCTTGTTCAAAAAGAAAAATTCTGACAATCATGTTTCTAACTTTCAACTGAGCTAACCGTCTCATTGTTTCTGATTCAGTTCCCTGATTCAAGTCAAAGCAAAAGCATGATTAAATTAGCCAATCGTCCTACGGCTGATTTTCAACTTCATGAATTCCCTTCTCACAATCTGAGCTTAATTTTTATTCAGCTGTTGCTTTTCTTCTTCCCATCCTTTTCGTCCATCTTTCCCTTTATTTGACTCCCCTGGTTGCACACCATTGTTCAAAAACTCATAACAGCAGCTAGTGTCAAGACTATAACTGGGCGTGTATCTTCTGTTCCTGCCTCAGGGTGCTGTGATCACCCCAGCTGCGACCATAGAGCCCAGTTTGTCTCTTCATCCCTCCAGTGTTATGGCTCCTCTCACCCAGCAGATGAACCACCTCTCTCTGGGTCCCACAGGCACTGTGAGTCTCCCCTAATGCTTTTCAATACCAGAAATGTTTGTATTCCTTTAGTTTTAACACTAAAGATCCTTTTGATTGGTTAAATGGTGAAATAATTCTCACCCTAATAAGTTTGTTAAACCCAGACACATGTTATGTTACAGTGCTGGAGCCTATACTTTATAATTATGTTATACTTCTTGCCTCACCTCCTGCCTCTGCAGTACATCTCTGCTGCAGCGGCTGCTCCTATGCAAGGAACCTACATTCCCCAGTACACTGCAGTGCCTGCCTCTGCCATTACAGTGGACGTAAGAACAAACGCCCGTTTTTTTAGATTTTAGTCGCCTTCTGCAGAGATACACATACTTCCCATAATTAGTTTAACATTTTATCACAGTTTTAGTCCGTCAGATTATGTGTGCTTAATGGTTAAAATTAGTAAAAGTATATTTGGATGAATGTCAGGATGTGTTTGTCAAGTCTGCCTTCTGCAAACTGTATTTTAGCATGTAAAAGTGTCATTAAACTACTAATCCAAGGTTACAGGTTTGAAGTAAAATCTTTGACATTAATTATTATTCCTGCCCTGTTTCTGACCAGGGTGTGGTGACAGACCAGTCACCGCAGACGACTGCCCCCTCCTCACAGGACGCGAGTGGGCAGCAGCCTTTATCAGTGAGTGAGAGTACAGGTGATCATGCCACAGCCTACCCCTACCAGCAGACAAAGTGAGTGTGATGCATCTCTTAGAAAAAATGCAGGGTTACTGGAAACAGTTTGGTTTGGACAGTCAGATCAACCAGTAGCCAGGGAAAAGAGAACAGGAAGTAGAACTGTTGAAACAGCTTACAATCTGAAGCAAACAGCAAAACCAGTTTTATGATGTGTCACTCATAAAAAAGCTGTTTATTTAAAAATAACTACAATGCAGATGGTCAAAGGTCAGTTAAAGGTCTTGCAGTCCCTGAAGCAACCGCCTAACACCGTTCTTTATCATGAAATGATGAAGCAGAATCTCTGAAATTAAACCAATTAGCTCTCCGCATATGTGACGGGGATTACTCTCAGCCACTACGACGTCTTACCTGACAGAGTTTTATCCATGTTTGTGTTTCATAGGTCAGTAGGCCATGGCAGCCATCTTCAGAGGGGTTAACTCCAAAAATTCATCAGTTGCCTGATGTTATAACTATTCTATTCAAACCCGCGCTAAAATGTCACCAATAGTCATTGTGAATGTTTTGAATAAAGTAGTGGAAAGCGTTTAGTTTATATGTCTGCAAATACAGTGATGACCAGCTCAACTCCGACAGTTAGTGAGTTTCAGATGCACAACCAGCAAGTCATTTAAATATGTCCTGTGCTTCATGAGAAACAGGTAAACACACACACACACACACACACACACACACACACAAAAGGAATGCAGCTGGAGCACTTGATCATTTTTAGAGGTAACAAGATTAAAAGTTTTATGTAAAAGTGACAAAATAGCAGGAGTGATGAAGTAGTAGCTCAGTGAGCATCATTCTGTTTGATAAATTCAAAATTTTTTGCTTTGTTTCTTCAACTTTTGCAATTCTGACCAAAAGCATTTTTCATCCCAAAATAAATTGCTGTGTTTCTCTTCAGAGTTTTCTCAGTCACCCAATGTCTCTGTTTTTTTTTCTGTCTTACTAGATAACAGGACTGCTGGAAACTATTGCTGCATTGCCTTTAGGTTTGCATAAAGACGCCAGAGACACAGAGACCCAAAAGGACAAAAATACAGAAGTGATCTGGACATCACCCTGCGCAGAATGCTTCCGATGTTTGCAAGAACAAAATAAAGGACAGAATGAAGAAGAAAATCATTATCGTCTGTGGCCGGGTGAAACAAGACGAAGAAAACACAAATCATTGTTTGCTGACCTAAAGGACAATGGAATCAATCACAGTCCAAGACTTTGACTTGATCATTTTTCACCTTGAGATTGATTCTTCCTTTAAGGGAATAAAAAAGAAACCGAAATTAAAACTCCACCAACTGTACAGAATAAAAATCTAAACAACATTAAAAAAAACATTTCAATGTGCAGGTAGATTTTCTGAATTTTTTTATTGAGAAGATAAAAGGAAGCAATGCCCAGGAGAAAACAGACTGTCTTCCTTTGACTTCAAGCTCCATTATTTTCATTATTTGATCATGTTAGTAGTTTTCTAGAATGTTAATGTTTTCTGAACTTCTTATTGCCTTAATTTTCACAAACTTTGGGGGTAAAAAAAGTTTTTGGAGTGTGTTGGAGCATTGGAGATGAAACCTTCTGTAAAATGAGCTGTATTTGGATGGAGATGAGTTTGAGTTAGATGATGCAATGAAGGTGGTGTTGGCTGATCAGAGAGAAAAAATGTTTAATGGGACTTGTTGAAAGGTCCAATCCACTGCATTCTGGGTATCGCGCTTTGGTTTAAATTTGTGTCTCCGCCACATTTTATAATTTTACAAGGTTTTTTATTTTATTTTATTGCAGACTTTAAAGAGGTTTTTATTTGTGTTCTTTGTCTCACTGCATAGAAAAAGTTATAGTCCATACTTTGTCAAATACCAAATTTAAAAAAGATAAGTGTTAGGATTTTTAAATGTGCAAAAAGCAATAGTTTTAGAAAAACTGCTGACAGATTGAGTCTTTCTTAATTGTTGAACAGCCTGCAGGCGGCAGATTTTATACCAAAGATGAAGAAATGATGTGATGAAGTGATCTTCCTCAACATTCTTCATTAGAATTGAACATTTTCATGTATTTGTTGGCTTGCTGTTGCTTTCTGAGATCACCAAACCCGGCTTGAGAGATGATCACCGTAACAACATGCAGTAAGTCTAAAACATAGTTGCCTCAACTTGAAGAGAATGTTTGTTCACAATGCTTTTGGAAAATTTATTTAACTTTATTGTAACTTCTAAGGAGATACACCCACCCCCCTCCCTCACCCCACTGTGGAATATTGGACTAAACTTCAATAGACATCTCCTTCCAATAATTATATGCTCTGATGCACAGTATCTGCATTAAAAACATGTTCTGGCACGTCCAGCCAAAAAGATTAATAATCTCTAAGAGAGAATTTCTGCAGACTAAAATTATTTTGATTACATAAACTCACCTAAAGGGGCAAGATTTTTCATGCAACTTTTTTTTGTTGTTGTAAGATTTAATTTAAATGAAATTTATGCTGCTAAAAATGTCATTATTGGATTGAGATTGTCTTGTTCTGGGTACAAGTGTTCCACGAGAGGGAGCGTTTTAAGGCAGAATGAAGACTGAGAAAAGTACCTGGTTCATCAAATGGGGAATAAATTATGTTGGGTCCACATCCTCGATGACCGTCCCACATCACCCAGGAATGATGGCAGTGAGTGGAGAAACAGACGGGTGAAGAAAAAGTGGTTCAACCAAATAAAAGCAAACCTCTTGTGGAAAGAAGAAGGTAGAAAAGTAATATTTATGAAGTGTTTTTGTTCTTTTTGTTCAGGTGTGTAAAAGAAGATGCAACTGAAAAAAAATATTCTTTAATGATGCTATTTTTTTATTTGCTCGATCACATGCTTCAAGCCTTTCCAGTTGTGATTTTTGAGAGTGTCTGTAGAACCAGTGGGTGTTGCTGTAGTTTCAGATGTGTCTTTATGTTGATTTTTGAGTTTTTTTGAACAAAACTTTCAATAAAAAATGTAAAAGAGTCAATCACCATTTGTACTGCAGATACAACACATTACCACTAGAGACTGCCGTTGTTTATGCATAGCCACACAGCTCACACACTGGTTATGTTCATGCAAATCAACCAGTAATCACACATGCCTAACAATGGTTATATCCAAAAGTTCAGATTTAAACAGGGATATTTGTGTTTCAACATTCTTGCTCCCATTTTTAATACAGGTTTAAACCATATGAAATCAGAAATATCAGTCTATATGAGCTCTGCCTCTTTAAAATGATTAGTACCTTTTCCAAAAACTTGCTCTATTGACACAACATGATTTCCGTCATGAAGGTGCAAGTGCCAATTTTTTTTTACCTAATTTCTATAAGATTATAAATTTACAAAAAAAATTACAATGTCCAATGATATAATTGCTATATTAACAAACCCCATCAGTTTTTAATTGTTAAAAGGGTTCACATGTGTTTATTTGCTAAGCACACGCTGGCCTAAGATAACTTTATGAGTGAGAATAAGGAGCAACAATCACAAAAACATGCAGTTCAACGATATGTTTATTATTTATTAGAGTAATGATCAATATGAAGACATTACCAAAACAGATGTGCCAGTGCAACCAGTGAGAAACATGCATTAGGTTCTCTAGTGCAATGACAAAATAACCAGTACACTTGAAACCAAGTTTTTACAGATACAAAGTTATTGTGTTGACATAAAAACAAAAAAGTTGTTTCAATGAGTAATTTGGACTTCCTTTTAGATATTATGGAATTCACTCATAATTTTAAAAAGTAATGAACACTCAACAACACTTTAAGGGCAGTTCAGTACATCGTTGGGGAACATTACTGCTAATAAGTGCTTCGATTGCAGCAGAAACTTTTTAGCATTTCTTGAAATAATTTCAACTGTTTCCAAAGATTTTCTTTGTTCATTTTAGGAAGTTTCAGGATTATAAGCTGTTGTTCGGCTGGTCTGACCTTGAAGTTAAAATTCCTCAGTTATAACTGTAGAAATATTTTGGCAAAGACAAAAAATCTTCAAGAACCAAGAAAGGAGGCTCTGTAGCTTTTCAAAATGCCACCGTGTGCATCCAGTGGATTATGTGTTGGGATGGTTTTCATTCAGTAAGTCAATAGCAGATGAGCACCTGCTGTAGATTTCAACAGATTTTTACTGCTACATTAAAGCTTTAGGAGAAAGTAGATGCATTTTAGTGCAAATACATTTTTCATACAGGAAAAAAGGCAACAAATTAAAACCACACTTGCTTTTGCATAAAGTTACAAGTGAGCTGCCAAGTGTGAAGACGTGAGTTTATCGTATTTTTTAAGTATACACTGTGCAACAAGAACAAGCAGAAGTTGAATTTTTAGGGGTTTCATTCATTACTCAACCATTGTGCTAATTGTTTGACCAAATATGAAGACATCGTGATTGATGCTTCCGTAGCTTCCCTGAGATACAAAAGAAACGGCGTTTGAGGCTTTTTCAGCTGCTCTTTACAATCCTGTTACACTGACAACTTTAGAAATGGAAATAGGAATGTTAATTTGGGCATCACTATTTTTTACCATTATTGAAACTTGAACACACATGCTACTTTACAGCATTCCTCAACTTACAAATATGCCTTCTTGGCTTTTGGCAATTTGCTGAGTCACATGTTCTCAGTAGCAAGTACGGATGAGGATAATAAACACTAGAACAACAGTTACAATGATCAAAGCTGAAAATAAAAAGATAAGGCCAGCGAAGACGGGGTTTGTCATTGGTGGGATTTCTTTTACTTCAGACGGGATCATGTTGGACAAGCTCAGCATGTAGCCCAAACTCCAGCCTATGTGTGTTTCCTTTATCTGCAAGACAGAAAAGACTGTCATCATACATGTACAGATGTGTTTCTTCTGTTGCTGTTAAGGCATAATACATCACTTTTACTAGAGAAAATTCCACTTTAGGCATCAGATGAGTCATATCACACAAAGAACATTGCAGTAAAGACACCAGTGATTCATGATTCATTGTAATGACAGTCTACTAACTGTCATTACACCCCCAAAGGGTCCTAAAGCAGCCCAGACTGCACACTAACTCACTTGTTCAAATATAGAACCATCAAAGCTGTTTAGGAACAGAGTTGGATATTGCCTAAAGGGCCGTTTATGAGCAATTAGGAAACTGCAGCTATATTATCTGACCACTGCTTTCTGTCTCACGAGTGTGCAGACAAGGGATGCCCCTTTCTAGTCAAAGAATGTATTTGTGGGAGCATGTATTGCATACTTTCCACTTGAGTTTTGAATGTTTGAGATGAGACGATTGGTGTCAGTGATCCATGTTAGGACTCGGTGGGTGGCCCCCCATGCATGCATACTATGAAAGCTGGTAAACGCCTGATTTTGGGAATTTACAGTAGTGGCTGTTTGACTAAAAGTTCCACAATCTAATGGTTGTGTTGCAGTTCTTCTCAGTAACATGAGATTTGTTTTGTTGCTATTACTATAGCGTTCAATAGTTTTATTTGTAATGTTCCACTTACCGTTTTTTCGAAGTGAATATTTTTCCATGTTTCTTTATTAAACTTGTATCCATCTGCCAAGAGTGTGAGGATGTAGCGAGTGCTATAACAATAGGTCCTGAGGTGTTTGTCAGCAATCAGTGATTTTTGTTGTTTCAGCTGAAACAAAGAGAAAAAAACCAAGGTTAGTACAGTGATGCGCTGTGGTTTGCTGGGTGGGCAGCATCAGTAAGAATAGAATAGAAGAATAGAATAATCCTTTAATAGTCCCACAAGGGGAAATTTGGTTGTGTCAGCAGCAACATCACACATATACAAACAATGCAGGACACAGAACAGAAGCACAGTTATTACATATTTACATCATGGACAATAGTTACCAGAGCAGAGTACAATACAGTTGTTTATATAAGCGCACACATAATGTGTAAGCATAGCAGGATACTGAAGATGTTAAAATAGTTTTAAAAGTTTAAGATGATTAAAAGAGTGCAGATTGTTTATTTTTTACCCGTTCATTAAAAAGTAGACATGTAGCCTTCAATAAATTATTGCATGTATAAGCTGAGAAAAAGTAATGTGTAAGTTATAATTGTAGAAGTTATTACAGCACTGATGCCGACAACTGTTTTTTTTGGGAGCAGTTCTGATTGTACAGTCTAACAGCTGCAGGGAGGAAGGACCTTCGGAAACGCTCCTTCATGCAGCAGTCTGTCACTAATAAAAGTAAGAAAGATCCAAGCAGATTTTAAAAGGTTGGAAAAATAACTGGACAAAAGCAGACATTTGAGTCAATGAAGACATTTCTCCCTACCAGGGATCTATCCCATAACTCATGATGATTCATTGTCCACAGACTCATTTAGCTCCAATTATGCGGAAAGCTTCAGAAAAACCTCATCCTGTTTCTATTTGTCTGGCCACATAATCAAGATCTATGTAAAATACATATATTGTGCTAATTTGAACTACCCTCTGAATATAACCTCCCTATTGTTTTTTTTTTTATTTCTTAAAACTGTTCTTAATGTTGATGCACTGCTAGACTTCCTGGTTTGTGATTCTATGATCTATTCTCAGCAGCTTTCTTTTTGATTTTTGTCACTGAACAAAACTGTTTTCTTCAAGAGCTGAACCTTCCTACCCTACTAACTAACTAACTAACTAACTAACTAACTAACTAACTAACTAACTAACTAACTAACTAACTAACTAAATAACTAACTAACAAACTAACAACTAACTAACTAACTAACTAACTAACTAACTACTCTCTCTAACTATCTAACTAACCAACTCACTAACTAACTAACTAACTCACTAACTAACTAACTAACTCACTAACTCACTAACATACCACACCACACATACATAGCAGCAAGGAAAAAGTTCATGAGTGAGGAAACACCAGGCCATAAATGGAAGCCTTAAGTGACAACTTAACAGGGCAGAGATGGTGCCAGTCTCACTGAGAGGGGAAGAACATTCATAGATGGAGCAGAGAGCAAAAGGTGACCAGCAGACCTCAGTGCCCGGTCCGGCATGTAAAGGGTCATCAGGTCAGACAGGTAAGCCGGGGCAAGGCTTTGAAGACAAATGTCAGAATCTTAAACTTCACTCAGAAATGTACAGGAAGCCAATGGTGACAGGCCAGGGCAGGAGTTATATGGTCACCTCTAGTGGTATTATTTAAGAACATGGCTGCTGCATTCTAGACTACCTGCAGCCTATTTAGAGCAGAGGCAGGGACACCAAACAACATCTAAGTTGCTCACTCCAAATGGGAGTTGCTACAAAGAACCGGTGAAAAAGGAGTACATGATCTCCCACCAACTGTCTTCTTTTGCAGTATCGGAGATCTCAAAACTCAACCAGTTATATGTGGCTTTGCCAACTAATTTAAATATGTAGGTGCAGAACCATTTCCTGTTTTATACATTAAAATTACTGTAAGGAAGTTAGAAGTTTTTATGCTCGCAATTGCCACTCAGGCCTAACTGCAGCTTCAAAAGTAAGCTCGTGCATGAGGCGTGCATGCTATACGTGCAAACTCCTTAACGAAAATAACAGCTGAGACAGTCCCATGTGTGTACGTGTGTGTGTGTGTGGCCCGGAGGACAGAGGACAGGAGAACACGCAGCTAATTAATTAAATAATTTGGTTCTGTACTTTTCTCTTCAGCACAGCCGACAAAGGTTTATGATGGGTCAGTCCTCCTGCATGCTCAGATCATTCCCTTGTCTTGCTTGAAAAATTGTTCCAAAATGAAAGTTGAACCCACATCTTTTTTGTCTGTGAATTCAATGCCTTTCGGTGAGTCTCAAATAAGAATTTGGGCATCTTATTACTGTAAAAAATATATCATTCATGTAAAAAAGAAACTCAAAATGACAAATTATGTTCACAACTGGAGTCGAACCCAGGTCTTCTGCATGAGAGTCAGACACCTAACTAGGTGAGCAAAAGCGCCAATGACGTTCAATCTATCTGTAACATTTATATCCTTGATGACAGCTGAAACAACGTCAATCCAAAGAACGGTTCGGAGCAAAAATGGCTATTTTGTTGCTAATTTGCAGGAAATATCTAGAAGAAAGTTCTACAGAAAGTAGCTAAGGGTCCTCAGAAATGTAGCTAGGTTCATCACTAGGCGTTAGGAACAGCGACAAAGTCGCTGAGTTGGCACTGCCTCACTCTCTGCTGCTAAAGCTACGGATAGCAAATGCTACGGGCTATGCCTGAGCGTGAACGCGCATGAAGCAGCCTGCTCGACCCGAGCATTTCTCTTTTCCTGTGATTTTACAGAAAAACAGGCAATCACAGTAAAAATGCCAGGGCTCATTCTACAGGACCAGGGCATTGCAGGAGAATGTATGAAGAAGAAATGTATTATTTCTATACATGTTTTGGCTGTCAAACTTGCTTATGGTCCCTTCAAAAGCAACACTTTAAAATCTATTCTTGCCTGAACCAGTAACCAGTGAAGTGAGTAAAACACAGGTGTGGTGTGTGAATTTCCTGTGCGGCTGAGTTCTGAACTGCCTGCAAATTTTGGACACTTTTCTTAGGCAAACTAATAAAACCACAGAAACTAGTCCTGCAAGAAAAATCGTGCTATAGACTGAATGCAATTAGGAAAACCTACCACGGTCCAAGGTGTTTGGCAGAAGTTCTCAACTGAAGCTTTGAACTGATCAAGATCCGACGTGCCATTCACCATCAGAGCTTGAGCCAGGTAGTAGAATCCAGCGTACGCCTGGTAAGAATGTCAAAGACAAGCATTCATCTTCTCTGCATTTTCACCTGTTTACTTTGACCTGTGACAGCTGAAATAAATGTTACCATGAATTCTCCGGTAACGGGTGGCTGCTCAACCCCATCAAAGGAACAGTGTGATGTGGAGCACGTTTTGAAATCGAATATGGACTTCACAATTTCCCCACATTTTTCTGAGTCTGGAGCACCAACCAAGTACAGCTTTTGATCAGGGTTGTAGGTTCGGGCTTTCTTTGTGCACTCGGTGTCGTAAATTTCTGAGACATTCAGGGTGGTGTTGTAACCTCTTGGGTAGCAGGGGTTAACTATGGAAGTTGGGTTGGAGGATTCCTGAAACATTGAAGGAAATAAACATGTCAAATGATTGAGAAGATCCTAAAACTTTAGAAATTGTAAAAGAAAATTAGTCAAAATAAATAAATAAATAACTGAAGAATTTTGAACTGTAAAGGAAGACATTTTCTACTTTGAAGGCCCAATGGCTGTCTGTACTTGTGTATAGTCATTAAACCTAACATTTATCATTAGGTCCCTATAGCAACTCATCACCTATTTTCAACATAGCATGTATCTCCCTCTGCCATAACAAGAGATACATAATAAAGTTAAAAGCTACCAGAAATTGTGCATTTCATGCAGGCTAATGTGATGACATGGATGGTTCAATCAATATTCTTAATGACATAATGCATTCTTGACTGTTCTCTTTGCCTGTTTGGAGCAGCAGTATTCACTAATCAATTTTTAACAGCACATTAATGGATTCTGGCTTTCAGTTTAGCTATGTACTTTTGTTTGTTTTTTTCTGTCAATTCGGGATGCTCTTTAGTTATGAATGTAGTTATTTCTACAATTTGGTTTGCAATGGACTTTTAGCCTTTACTCAGCTTCCCAATCATCTGAACTTGCTTTACGTCCTGTAATACAACAGATGTTAATTAAAGCTCATTAGCCAGATCTTTTCTTTTATTATGCCTTGTTTTATTTTTTTCTATTTCATAATGTGTCTTATGGCCTGCTTTGTCTTTGAAATAAAATTTAATGTTTGCTGATATGTCAGACTTTTTCTGTTTAGGTACATTTCCTAAATGTATAAAAATTTTGTTTCATAAATGCATCTTACAAGAAGAAACTCAATAAATGTGACCCTCAGAAACTCATTCTGTCTTATAAAAGGGACAATTCAAATGCAGACAATTCCTTATGGGTACCTGGACTATTTTGTCAAGAATCCTCTTGTCAGCCTCATTTTTGCCATAGCAGAGGAAACTGTGTGTGTAGACGGTGTACGGGTAACCGTACAGTTTGACCTGCAAGTAGTCAGGCCCATTTCCACGTTCCTGAACTTGAAAGGCAATCTGTGTTGACGCTCCACCAAGGTCCATGGAGCCAACCGTCTTCGCCCCCTGTGGGCGCACATAAGCGTTCCAAAGGTTTTTCTGTGGACATGATGGAGACAGGTCATGTCCAGTAAGCAGCATGTTTTCTTCATTTCACTTTTACACAGATAAGCATGTTTTCTCTGCCTTACCTCAAGGAAGTTTCCCATCAAGTAGTTGACTGTGATCCAGCCGTACAGCCCTTCTTCCTGCCCAGTCATTATAGAAGCATTCTGGAAGTTAAAGGGCAGTGAAGTCAGGTACCCTCGAAGACTTTCCATGACTTCTTCAGATCTCTGTTTGTTTTCCTCTCTTGAAAAAAACAAAACAAAACAAATGGTAAAAACATTTCTAAAGCATGGAAATAATCTTTTTTTCTTACAGCTTTTATTTAAAAAAATCTTTCAGTTTGACGTTTGTGTTGTGACACAAATATTGATCTTTCTATAGCATTTTGTTTGCTTTCTGAAATTACATCAATGAACACCCAACGTGCTATAAAAAACCTTGATGACTGAGCTGAGAACTTAAACAAAATCATATAGTTGAACTTTGACATTTGCATCATCTTGTGATGTTGAAAAATCTACACATGAATAAGAAGAAAACAAAAGTAGATTATATTTTTAGATCTTCAAACATGGTAAATTGCCTGTATTTGTATAGGACATTCTTAGGGTTTCACAACCCCCCAAGGCACTTCACAACACAATCAGTCATCCACCCATTCACACGCTGGTGCGGATGAGCTACGATCTAGCCACAGCTGCCCTGGGGCACACTGACAGAGACAAATAAATTATCAATGTGAATAAAAATTCATGTTTGAACTTCCTGAATCCTGGAACAATCAATCAATCAATCAATCAATCAACCAATGTCCCTGCAGGGAAATTTTCTTTGCAGCCAGGTGGTGATTAACATGCTCAGTCCAAAATACACTAACACAAGTACAACAGAAAAAAGTCTTTAAAAAATCAACATTAAATTTATTGGATTTCCTAAAGTTCAACAGCACAGATGAAAGTTTTTCTGAACCAATAGACGGATCATCAGTCGTCTGCAGACTGATCAGTCTGTCAGCTGAGAATGTCTGTCTTTGAACTTGACAGAATATTGTCCTGTGTTTCATTCAGAGTGGTAAAGGTTGTGTTGGATTGTTCATTAATTAGAGAACATAAACAGCTTTGCAAAGAACCAACAGCAGTGGGTTGGGATTACAGGCTTGCCCCTCCAGTGGTTGGAAATCTATTTGGTCAATAGGAGTTTTTGTGTTTGGAAAATCAATATCCCTCAATCTGGGAACACCTCAATTGAGGGGTCCCATAAGGCTCTGAACTTGGCTCCCTTTTGTTTACAATCTATCTCCTACCATTAGGCGCAATAGGAAACGCAAGGTGAAATTCCACTTTAATGCCGATGATTGTCAGCTCTACCTGCCGGTTTGCCAGGGAGCGGGTGGCTCACTTTCTCCTCTCCTTGATCATATGGAGGATAATAAGTTTTGGATGAGCTCCAGTTATTTGCACTTAAATGAGAGCAAAACTGAGGTAATTTTGCGGACCCCTGGTAGGACTGCTTGTACTTGACGTACATTCCTGTTCTTTCCACCTCCGACAGATCACTAAAATCAAGTCAATACTGTTGAGGGCTCATTTAGAAACAGTTTTACATGCATTTGTATTGTTACACCTTGACTAATGTAATGCTGTGTATGCTGGTGAGAGTTCAGGTGTACTTCCCACAGCTCAGTGGCAAGCTTCTTGTCTGGTACTACGAGGAGGGAGCATATCACTGGCTCTCAGTTGAGTATCGGGTTAGGTTTAAAACCCTGCTGTATGTGTATAAGACCCTACAGGGCGCTGCCCCTAACTATCTCTTCTCACTCCTCCATAGATACACCTCCGCAAGGGCCTTGCGTTCCCAAGACAGGGAACTCTTAGAAGTATCACGTTCTAGATACAAATCTAGGGGTGATCGTGCGTTCTCTGTGGTGGCCCCAAGCTTATGGAACGTGTAGCCTTTGCTTGTGAGGCAGGCACCACCCCTCCAGTCTTTTAAGTCTCGTTTAAAGACACCTTTACCAATTGGCTTTTTCCCATCAGTCTTTGTTTTATTGTGATTTAATTATTTATTGTTTAGTATTTGTTTTTACGTGAACATTTATTATCACTTATTATACCTTTTTTATTGTCTGAGTGTTTTCTTTTGTATTCTTTTATTATGCTTTAGTTTCATTTTTTACTGTAAAAGTGTCCAGCACCCTGGGCTACTACAACGATAGTGGAAGGAGCTATAGAAATAAATGATGATGATGATGATGATGATGATGTTGATGTTGATGATGATGATGATGATGATGATGATGATGATGATGAAGATGATGATGATGATGATGATGATGATAGAGAAGTATCTTCATTTAGAGCGTGTTTTGAAATTATTACAGTTGAAAATAAAGCTATAAGGTGCACATACGCACATGCACATACACACACACACACACACACACACACACACACACACACACACACACACACACACACACAATATGTCATAGCCAAAAGATCACAGGTATCAATTGCTATTTAAATTGTTCACACACACCTTGCCTGTTTTCAGAGCATTATACATTTTTCTCCTAAGTAATTAAGTAATAGTAACTCAACAAACAGTTTATTTCTGTCAGATTGATGAAAACCCCTTCACTCCTCTTCAAAAGACCGAAACAGTCAGATCATATCCAGTCACAAGGGTTTACCGTGACCTTTTAGGATTTTGCAAACTACTCTTACCTACAATGATAAAGCCATTTTTCATCAGACATTTTGAGAGTAGAGCAGGCAACAGTAGCTCAGGAGGTAGAGGGAGTTGTCCAGTAAGTGAATGGTTGTAGGTTCAATCCTGGCTCTGACCAAAGAATGCTGCTCTTGTGTCCTTGGGCAAGACACTTAACCTGCCTTGCCTGCTGGTGGTGGTCGGAGGGACCAGTGGCACCAGTGTTCAGCAGTCTCACCTCTGTCAGTGCGTCCCAGGGCAGCTGTGGCTACATCGTAGCTCATCTTCACCAGCGTATGAATGTGTGGATGACTGATTGTGTTGTGAAGCACCTTGGGGGGTTGTAGAACCCTAAGAAGGTACTATACAAATACAGGCTATTTACGAAGGCACGGGTGTCTCAATGAGGGCCGCATTCCGTTTCTGCACCTGTGTATGTTGGTCGTTCTGTAAAACTGTTTACAAATGTATTTTAAGCACATCTAGCTCCATTTAAGACACATGTAATCTTTCTATTCTTTGTAGGTGAAACATTGGGCTTTTCTGTAAAACTCAATTAAAGAGTTCTAGATCAGAAAATGCTGGTATCAGCATTTCATTTTAGCTGATAAAACTGGACTGAAGCATAAGTGGATTGTTGCATCACCCATGAGAATAACCAAAAGTGTTCTTACTGTAAGAGTCGCATTCCCGCTGTAGCTCCCAGAAAGAGAGGCGTGGTTTTGTGCTTTGCTTCTGGAATACTTTTGATGATGTCATCCATACAGCGGTTGAATCCCTTCCACGTTTCTTCATCTTTAATGGGATCGACTTTCATCCCCGAGATAGAAACACCTAAGAGCACAAAGCTGTGGTAAGATTATACCTTTCACCAAAGACACGTTAAACAGTTTCCATCTTGATTATTTAAATAATGGTTCACACTGTGTGCAAAACCAGCAAGAACTTTTCATGCAAAAGCAAGAATTTTCCTAAAAATGTTGAAACTCACCTTTGACTTTACAGTTCATTCGTTCAGTCACTATTCCTGTTTCATTCTCCTTCTCTCCTGGCCATTCATACAGATACACGTTGGAACGAGATGAACCAGAGTCTATCACAATGCCAAACTGTGAATAAAAAAAATTGTGAAAGTAATGATGACAAGGTCATGAACCAATTGTCCATCCATCCATCCATTATTTTCCGCTAATCTGGAGTCGGGCCGCAGGTGCATTTCGATGTTGGGGAGCGGTGGGTCTACACCAAGCCCCTCCCGGATAACCAAGCTTCACACCCTATCTCTAAGGGAGACCCCAGCCACCCTGCGGAAAAAACTCATTTTGGCCGCTTGTATCTGCAATTTTGTTCTTTTGGTCACTACTCAAAGCTTGTGACCATAGGTGAGTGTAGGAATGTAGATCAACTGGTAAATTCAGAGTTTTGCCTTCTGGCTCAGCTCTCTTTCACCACGACAGACCGGTACAACGCCCGCATCACTGTAGATGCAGCACCAATCCAACTGTCAATCTCACATTCCATCTTTCCCTCACTTGTGAACAAGAGCCCGAGATACATAATCTTCTCCACTTGGGTAGGACCTCATCTGTGACCTGGAGAAGACGTTCTACCCTGTTCTGGCTCAAGACCATGGTCTCAGATTTAGAGGAGCTGATTTTCATCCCAGCTGCTTCACAATTGGTTGAGAACCGCTCCAGTGAATGCTAGACATCACTTTCTGATGAAGCCAACAGGACAACATTATCTGCAAAAGACTCAATAATTAGGCCACCAAAACAGATCCCCTCAACACCTTGGCTGCGCCTAGAAATCCAGTCTATAAAAGTTATGAAAAGAATCGGTGATAAAAGGCGGCCTTGGTGGAGTCCAACTTTCACTGGTAACGAGCCCGACTTACTGCTGTCAATGCGGACCAAGCTCTGACACCTGTCCTATAGGGCCCCAACAGCCCGTATGAAAAGGCCTGGTATCCCATACTCTCGGAGTACCCCCACAGGGCCCCTCACAGGGCCCCCACAGGGCCCCACAGGGCCCCCCGAGGGACGCGGTTGAACGCCTTCTCCAAATCTCCAAATCCACAAAACACATGTAGATTAGTAGAGCAAACGCCCACGCACCCTCCAGGAACCCCCTGTGTATAGAGATGGTCCAGAGCTGCATTCCGCTTGGACTGTTGGTACCCATCAGCTGCCTCTGGAGTCCCACAGGCCAAAAAGACCTAATAGGACTCTTTCTTCTGCTTGACATCATCCCTTACTGCCTATGTCCTCCAGCAGGTTCAGTGATTGCCGCCACGACAAGCACTGACGCCTCAATAATGGAGACACAGTTCTGTCTGACTTGTGAACTAAATTGTGAATTGAACCTGCCAGGTCTGACCAGCGTCCTCCCCCACATTAACTCACCACCAGGTAGTGGTCAGTTGACAGCTCCGCCCCTCTCTTCACCAGAGTGTCCAAGACATGCGGCCGCAGATCAGAAGAAACAACAACAAAGTCGATCATCAAGCTGCGGTCTAAGGTATCCTGGTGACAAGAGCGCATATGGACACCTTTATGCTTGAACATGGTGTTCATTATGGACAATCTGTGACTAGTGGCCTAGTGATTGAGTGTCCGCCTTGAGACTGGGAGATCAGGGTTCACATCCTGGTCGGGTCATCCCGAAGACAGAAGAAATGGGACCCAATGCCTCCCTGCTTGACACTCAGCATTAAAGGGTTGGATTGAGGGTTAAACCACTAAAAGGTTCCTGAATGTGGCTGTGTCTGCAGCTCACTGCTCCCCCAGGGGATTTGTCAAATAAGGAGAACCACTCCAGAGTGGTAGAGTGTCTAACCCCTCTCAAGGAAACTGGTTCCGGAGCCAGAGCCATGTGTTGAGGTGAGTCCGACTATATCTAGTCGGAACCTCTCAACCTCATACACCAATTCAGGCTCCTTCCCCACCAGAGAAGTGACATTCCACGTGCCAAGAGCTAGCTTCTGTAGCTTAGGGTCGGACTGCCAAGGTCCCCGCTCTTGGCTACCACACACTGCACCCAAGCCTTTTGGCCCCTCCCACGACTGGTCCATGGGACTGGCCCATGGAAAGGGGGACCCACGTTTCTTCTTCGGGCTATGCCCGGCTGTTTTTCATGGGTGAAAGCCCGGCCACCAGGTGCTCGCCGACGTGCCGCACCTCCAGGTCTGGCTGCAGAGGGGATCCTCGGTGGCCTGCGTCTGGGCGAGGGAACACAATTTCCATATATAATTTTCTTCATAAGAGGTATTTGAACCAATGTATGAAACTGCAAAAATAAAGGCTAAATGCTGCCAGAGTTACCACACGGACCAACTGCGCCCCCCTAAAAATTTCACTGCCCTCATCTCAGCCCCCATGAAAAATTTCTGGGGGCACCACTGCCACCATTCTAACACGGTTTCTTACTGAAATCCTCTTTGGAGTGAAGACATTACCTGACATAGTTCATCATAAAAAGTGTGTCTAGTGTAATCTCCTCTGTTGATCTGTTCTAATTACTTTACTTTTTCTTACTTTACAACTGATAAATCAATGGAACAACTAGATGCAGACTCATAACCGTAACAACGTATGTTGTTTGTTTTAAAGAATTTGTTTATGCAAATCTGGATCTCTGTCCAATTCAAATGTTGAGAAAGAAAGTATTTTACCAAAAAGACTTACAGAAAAAGCCAAAACATGCATGTATTATGTATGCATTCAACACGTTTTTTAACATCACACGTGTGTGTTTTTACCTCTAAGCTGTACTCTTTTCTCTTCAGTGTGTCCTGGACAACAGCAACTGTGACCAGAGCAGCAATACCGGCCAACAAGAGGAGCACCACTCCAGCTATACGACACTTGTAGCCCATTTTATTTTTGGAGGCCATTTCCTGTTGGAAGCAAGAAATTAAAAGATTGAAAGAGTTGCTTTTAGTGAAAATTGATGATAAACTGTAACAGTAGCCTCTTGAGGACTGATGGACTGAACATTTGCTCAAAACAGCAAAAGATTTGGACCAAACTAAGTGCCACAAACAACAATTGCACAGAAATGGGTGCTGCTAAAGATGAAACATTCATTAGAAAAACGAAAGTTTGTCATGACATCCATGGGTGTTGCTATGTTTGCTCACTGTTGGTTATTTTTTTGGTGTTTTTTTTTACCTCTGGGCCACATAAGAGTCAGCTTCTTTAACATGCATGATGTGAAATGTGATTTGAAGAATGTCTGAATACAACAGTAAACACTGCCATTAATCCATGGAGATTTTAGAACGTTTGCTAAACTGCCAGTTGAGTCAAGACATTAGGGCTTTTTGTTTCATTGTTGCCATCTCATTAAATCCTTCAGGCAAAGTCTCTACAGTAAATGTGTCACAACTTGAGTACTCTATTATGGTAAATGGTAAATGGCCTGTATTTGATATAGCGCCTTCTAGAGTGCTGGAACCCCTCAAGGCGCTTTACAACACAATCAATCATTCACCCATTCACACACACATTCACACACTGGTGGTGATGAGCTACGATGTAGCCACAGCTGCCCTGGGGTGCACTGACAGAGGCGAGGCTGCTGAGCACTGGCGCCACCTTTCCCTCCGACCACCACCAGCAGGCAACGTGGGTTAAGTGTCTTGCCCAAGGACACAACGACAGCGAAAGACTGAGCGGGGCTCGAATCTGCAACCTTCCAATTACAGGGCGAGCTCTTAACTCCTGTGCCACCGTCGCCCGTATTATACTACTGACTCCCAATGCAACATAGACTGGGTGAACTAAGACAACATATTTGCAGAGGGTTTGGTTTCAGAGCAGCATTACAACAACATACACACGACTGTACTGTTAGAACCGCACTGGAAAAGAAAGGATGACCCTTCAGATTGTCACATGTGGTCACTGTTGCTCTTTCAAATATTTGCCTCACTTAAAGCCCCAGAAAGGTACTAATTTGTTCGACAGTGGTTCGTCTATAGTCATTCTGCTGGAGCTGTTTACATTCAGTGACAGAAATCCGTTTTATTCCAGGTCAGACTTTGACATATAAACGTCTTATATTGGGAAGCTAAAGAATTTCTGTCCCGGTCCAACAAAAGCTGACACAGCCTTTAGGCATGTTACTAAGTAGGCTTTAGAACTGTCTGATAATGTGTTAAAGGGCCTGTGTTGTGTCACTCTACTGTACACCTTCCACAGCAACGGTAGGCACATGAAATAATATAATATTACTGTTGGCACTATTGAGAGGTCATTTTTTATGAGCTATAAGTAATATATGACAATTCCTTCAACCAGGAAATAAGATACTTGGATTTAATGAAAGCCCACGTCTCCCTGTGTGAATTCCACAATAATACACAGCTGTAGACTCAGAGACTGCAGATTCACCATCATGTACCACCTTTCATGAGGAAATAACTCTATAACATGCGTCAAACTGGGATTTTTCATGATATAGGACATTTAGGTAAAATTCAATAAATCAGTTTCTGTTAAGACAGACAGACTGACAGAAGCTTACAGTTTCCATCTTTAGGGTTAGGTTGGATTATCCTGGCTCATCCCTTTAGCTATGCTACTATATGCTATGTGACCACATGTCTTCATTCTGACAACTTTATCATCTCCATATAGAGTTAATGCTGCTATCGACTTTGTTTTCTCTGTTTATCATTCATAGAAATGATGACCCAATTTTCCCATTTAGCTCTTACCTGTCCTTTTAGTCTAGGTAGAAGGCCCCTTATTCTGAGTATTGTTCTAGCTTTGCTGCAGATGCATCCCAACGGAATCATTCCCACAGTCCCCAGTCATACCATCATTACCACCATGTTTCACCAGGATGAGTGAACTCCACTTAAGTCAAAATTCTGTGCAGTCCCCGATTTCCTTCCAGCGAATCTTCACTGGTTGTTGTTTTACAATCCATCAAATCTGGTTGTATCATTCAAGTGATTAATATGAATTGAACATGTTTCATTTTGCATTCTGCTTTGAAATGACTTTTGTTATGAATTAGGGCTTCGTAAATAAACCAGATTTGAATAGAAATTGATCCAAGCTGCCCATGTACTCAGACTTAGTGTTGTAAATCAGTTTGCTTTGATAGCAGTTTGCTTTTAACAACATAAAAATGTAATGATTGTACTGGACTGAGAAAAGAAAATTAATAAGTCTACTGGACAATGGAGTGTGGTGAGTTGATTCTCTGATAAGCTCTTTCTGCTAAATGTGTAATTAATGCACATCACAACATATTGATCTAAGCAGGACTTGCAATGCTATATTTCTTTTAGCTGTGTGTGTGTGTGTGTGTGTGTGTGTGTGTGTGTGTGTGTGTGTGTGTGTGTGTGTGTGTGTGTGTGTGTGTGTGTGTGTGTGTGTGTGCATGTGTGTGTGTGTGTGTGCGTGCGTGCGTGCGTGCGTGCGTGCGTGCGTGAGTGCGTGCGTGCGTGTGTGTGTGTATGTGTGTGTGTGTGTGTGTGTGTGTGTGTGTGTGTGTGTGTGATCTTGCTGAGTCTGCATATCATATTTTCTGCAACACCTTAATTATTCTATTTGCAAGCTAAATTTGTATAATCAGAGGGCAGCTAGTAAACAAATTCACACAGCTAGAAGAAGAAGAGCAAGTCCTCATGACGTGTCTCTTTCAGTTGCTGATGTGTGTGTATGACATAACAATAATCCTATTCGAAATCGGCATGTTGAATGTTTAGATTTGCTAAATAGGAAATCAGACAGAATCATATAAGGTAAAAGGAGTAAAGTTAAAACATTAAATTAAGACCAGAAATGTTTTGTAGTGTTGTCGTACCCAGGCAGAACTGGGAAGTCTCACAAATGAGTTTCATTTCCCTAAATAAACACACAATCAGTCTCACTTTCATGCTGATTTCAGAGTTTTGGGACTGAGGAGGAGCACAGTGGAGCACAGCCATGATGTAGGGCGTCCACTCAGTAGCATGGCCTGGTTGCCAACAGTTAAAAGCCAAACTGGCTTTTCTAGCCTCTTGTCTACGCTACAACTGCATCATGCCCTCAACATCAAGCTAAAGTGATGTGATTGTTTAATATGTTGCTGCATCCTGACACGGCCTGAGAAAATCATACCAGGGTGGTACGAGATCTGATATCACCTCCAAGTCCACAGATCAACGCAAAGAGGCACTTCTTTACTTGAAATGACCAAAATTATTTTTATCTCATTATAAATGTCATTTTTATTCAGTTGTTTTCTGTCACCGGAACACTATAGTAGAAATAATCCTAACTGTTAACCAAAGCTCCCTACTAGATACAAGCTTTAACCTCTGGAGGCAGGCGTTGCAGATTTGCAACGTTAAAACCTACCTACCTGGTTGCTCCACGTACGTAGTTCATGAGCATGTTTTAACTCAGAAGTACCCCTGAAGGACTTAGTTGTTCGTCCTTTTATCAAAACTTATTTAGAGTCTGAGAGGGTTGAATAGTTTTATTTTCAGGTTTGTAGACAAAACTAACATAATTTGATCCTACACCTCATCTACAAAACCTGCTTTTATATCACACATTTTAAAATGAACAGTCTTTATCGTCTCTACAGCTCGACTCTGTTCCTCTGCAGGTGCTGCGTTTGAGTGGGTGTTTGACACTGAATTGTTTTCATCAGACAACCGAGAATTCATAAGAATCTTCACAGCTGAAACCAGTATGGGATTCAGAGCTGATATTTATTCAGAATTTCCAACATTCTGGAGTGCAGACAGTTTGCTCCTCCACTTTGTTGGCATCAGAGATAAAAACCACCTGACATCAGCAACCAAACCACAAACCTTCAAGCTGCAAATATGTGAATCACATTAAGTGTGCTCATAAAATGATACAAAAGACACAAAGTGGGTGGATATATTCACACATCAGCGTATCCGTGTGATCCGGTTGTGGTTCAGCTGCCATTACCTTGTCCATTTCTCACCCGTGACACCTTATATTTCTGAGCACTTCAAGCAGGCTGAAGCCTAAATGGTGATAATGGGAGATATTTGTTCTCTCTTCACTGCAAGCTTTATTTATTCCTGTTCTTCTCCAGTTCATTTACACCATTTTCCTGAATGCATTTTTTTTCACAACCCTTTCAACTATTTGCAAAACATTATTGATTGTCCAGCTGGTTTACCTCAATGGTTTAGCGTCCATCTTGTGTTGGAATCCTGCCTCTTCAGCATCAGTGGCTCAGCTAAGATGAGCCACTGATGCTGTCTAATAACTATGTGCAACTTGAGCTGTTTATGCAAATGCATGCCTCCATTTAAAAGTGACTAAAATCAATAAACATTCAGAAAATGGTATTTGGAATTAGAAATATTTCTAGAAAAAC